TTTCCTTCTATAACTTGAAAAGGTGCGTCGTTTTGCAAACCCTTATAAACCCCAAACACGCCATTTCACTGCCATCAAACCACGCTTCATATTTTTTGCGTCTCCTTCACGATTCACTGTTCATCTTTTGCTTCCTTGCTACGTAACCCTGCAAAACTTCGTTCCTTCTCAAATGGCTGCTTCACAATCTCAAGCTAGTGATTCCTTTAGTTTTGATGACTTTCAGAGACTTCTGAGTCGCCCATACATAACCCCAAGTTTTCTCGCGCTCGCCGACATTGGACGTAATGAATTTTACTTGGGTCCTTTCTTTAACAACGTGGAGGCAGTTGAACAGGCGGCGGTGGGTCAGCTGTTTCCTTGCACTCATGGCCCTCATTTTCTAAACTCTCTGCCACTGGGGCCACTTCGCGAAAGAGGTATTCTCACTTGACCTAAATCTGATGTAGCTTTTCGTAGGTGGCATGCTCGCCTTGTGGGTCATGGTCCTACCAAGGCATTTTTTGATAGCGCTAGGATTTTTGATTTGTTGGAAATCTCCATCCGCCCCCCTTCTTTTGATTCAGCACTCTTTTCAATTGCTTTGAATTTTTGGTCTTCTGAGTATAACACCTTTATTTTCCTTCTTGACCCTATGTCTATTACCTTAAGGGATGTTGGAGCCCTGTTGAATCTGCCACCTTTGGGCGATACCATTTTTCCTGGTATCTTAGTCTCTGGTGGCGCCCCAAAGTTTGGTAGAAACTACACCGATTCTTATTCAAGCCTGCAGACCCTCCACAATCATTCGAGCGCTGAGCCTACCCATACTGAGCGAGTGGCCTTCCTTTTAGTTTGGCTTTGTAAATATGTTTTGTGCGTGCCAAGTATAAAGCCCTCTCTGAGTTATTTATCTATAGCGCACGAATTGGCGCGTGGCAGGCCTTTGAATTTATGTTCTTTGTTTTTGGTTGCCCTTTATAGAGGCATGGCCTCTCTTCAAACTCAATTGAAAAATGTTGCATCTCCCACTGGCAGTGGACCTCTTTGGTTCACTCAACTGTGGTTGAGATCCTATTTTCCATCGCTTGGTGCTCCATCTATTTCTCGCCCTTCTGCTAGCTGTTATGGGCTAGCCATAGAGCCCTTAACTCCTGTAAATATGTCCAGAAGGGACATTTTTTCATTCTTTTATTCTTTGGATTCAATCCCTTCCTTTTTTCCTTTCTCTCCTTTTTTGACTCCAAATTATGTACATCCCCCTTCCACTATAGATAACGCGAGCACCTCCCTGCTCATTTGGATCCAATTTTTAACCGGGAGGGAGCTATTTCATGATATTCTAACTGGGACCAATGCCAAAGCGGGGGTAGAGATTTATGCTCCCCAATTTTTTGCTCGTCAGCTTGGTTTTGGCCAAACTTGGCCTGTTCCTCCTTGCTATTCAAGGAACTTAGTTGACCGTTTTCATACCATTACTAAGGCGGAGGCAGAGGCCATAGATGCTCGTAATCTTCTTTTAACCAGTCATTTTTTATTGGCCCCCTTCAATTCTAGCCACGCCATTCACCCTCTTTTTGAACAATTCTGGCCGTCGGTGAAGCGCAGATTATTTGCGACTGATGCCAATCGTGCCTTTCATTCATTAGACCAACCGAGCATTTCTTCTCCTCCTCCTGTTTTGGTCATTCCTTTGTCTGTTCGGAGCCCCTCTCCTTCTCGTCGCACTAAACAGTCTGCTCGTCCATCTTCTTCTCTCACTGCCAAGCCTACTACGGCCAAAAGTGCTCCAAGCCGTAAACGGCCAGCCTCAGCGTCTCTCATTCTGGAGGATGATGTTGATGATGATGATGATGCCCCTCTTATCGTCAGGAGGAAGGTAATTAAATTGGTTTACTTACAAGTATATTTTTCTATATTTGAAACTTTTCTGTGTGCTGATGATCTTTTGGACTTTTCAGAAAAGCTCAGCCTCTCCTTCAAAGGCTTTGGCATCGACAATTTCTGCTCCATCATCCTCTACTGAGACTACTTCATCCAAACCGGTTGATGAGGGGACTACGCTTAAAGAGACATCTTCAATCCCAGAGTCCTCATCACAACCCATGGATGAGTCACCTTCTTCCCAAGGCGTCAACCCCCCAAACATCGAAGCAGAAGGTAATTCAGTTTTTTGATGTCTTACCTTTGCTCGTGCTGTTGGTTTCTGATTTGTTGCTCTTGAGTTTTGTAGATACTCCTAGGAGTCCGCCCGTTGTGGCAACATCTTCTCGCTCAGACAAGGGAAAGTCCTCACGAATGGAGGAGTCGTTGGTGGCAGACTTGGTTGAGGGCATGCTATCTTCCACGATTGTTGATGAAGTAGTCTTTGCTTCACTTCTATTTCTATTTTGTTCGTTATAGTGAGCATCTTTAATATTGGCAATTTCCTTTGTAGGATGCTGACAGGATTGTGCGTTCCATCCAAGACTTGTTCGCTTCTGGGGGGCAAGTCCAGACGTCTCGCCCTGCTCCATCTGATCGTCCTGCTGCTTCTTCAGAGGAAGATTTGAAGTTTCTCAAGGAGTCGGTATTTGAGTACGTATCCTTCATGGATATGGATATTGGAAAGGCTAGTGCTGCCAAACACAAGGATGAACTTGAGCACTTGAGTGCGAAGTTGGAGCAAGCACTGACGCTTCTGTCGCTCAATCTTTCTGCCGATTTTAAAGCGACGTTGAAGGTCATCCATTCCGAGGTCCTTTCTATGCTGGCCAAGAATGCTGAACTAAAGGCCAAGCGTACTCAATATCTTCGAGCCGTAGTTGAGAAATAGTCTTTGCGTATGGAGATTAACAAGGCTGAGGACGAGTTGAAAGAAATCTCCTCCGAAGTCATGGTTGAAGACTCTTTGATGGTCGTATTCATCCGCAACCATCAAGCTGAGTGTTTAAGTTTTCAGTTCGAGATCTATCAAGTACGATTTTTGGTAACATCAAGCCCCATTTTTTTATAAGAATGAATTTTTGAATTTTCCATAAACAGAATAACTAAAGCAAGGGGAATTCCTCAACCAATCAGATTTGCCGAATTCTTGCATGTCCAAAGACAAACAGTTGATTGGCTGTAACAGAAGCTGAATATGCAACAGCAATCTAAGGTCGCATGCCCAGACGAAAAATAAGCTCCCACTCACGACCCATGTACCCGCTTTCTATTTAGGTGTCTTGTCGGGCCCAGTTAGCACTTGTAGTCTTGAGATTTAGATAGGGAGAAGAAAAGAATTGTCACATTTTTGTATTCACAAAAGCGAAAGCGCTCGCTTTGTTCGTTCATTGGAGAAAAGTGTTTATGACCTTGTTGTTCTCAGAATTCTTAATTCATGAGTTGTAGTGTATTGATGGAAAATATGTAGTTAAAAAATAAGATTTTTTTTTTTGAATTTACATGTAATATTATTTTATTGAAAAATGTGTGATTAAAATGATGTCAAAACATTTTTTAAGAATATTTTTTTTTTCAAAAGAATGAAGGTCAAACAAGGGCTATTTAATAATTTTATTATGCTTAATAGCCAAAGTTACGTTGTAGATAAGATTTTTGTGATAGGAGATTAGTTGCATTCGTTCTCTATTTACGACGAACTTGAGAAAATTTCATCGATAAATTCTGTAGAAACAATGACATAGTTTCCTGAAGTGCACATAAATCAAGATAAATATATGAGAACTTTCAAACATAAAAGGCTAAAGCATTGACGGAAAGATAACAAATACGTACTCATAGTGCATACTAGGCCTGGGCGTGGTTTGATTTGGGTTGGTTTTGACCTAAACCCAAAACCAAACCAAAGTAGTCGGTTTGAGTGAAATTAAAACCAAAACCAACCCACTATAATTCTTAAACCGAACCAACCCAAACCACTTCGGTTCGGTTCGGTTTGGTTTCTCGGTTTGAACTTTTAAATAACATTGCATTGTAACTTATAAAGAACAAGTAAACATTGATGTTACTCTTACACATTGTTCTCTCCCTTTTCTTTTTCTTTTTTTTCCTCCTTTTTTTCTTTCTTTTTCCTTTCTTTTTTTCCTTGTTCCCCCATTTTTGAGTTTGATTTACAAATGTGAGTGTTTCTTTTGCTTGGCGCATGATCTTTGGATACTTTCTGTAATGAATTAACAATTGTCAAACTTAATGACTAGTTTCACTTGTTTATGTCTGTGGACGAGTGCTAATTGATTATCTGGATCATGTAATTTCACATTATAGTTTGTCTCCTTCAAAAGTATTTGTTTCATATCCTATAATATCTTTCCTAGCATTTGTTTGGTCAAGAAGCAACATTTGATTCCATTTATAATGTCCTTTTAGTTTGTGATTTTTATCATATGTTTTTAACTGAAGAGATCACTTTCTTCCAAATTGTGGAGGAAGTAAATTTTCCTTCAAGTTTGTTTTGTTAATCTACAATGGGGGATGAGGAAAACAATTTTCAACCTTCAAAAAAGAGGGTTGTCGGAGTGCAACTATCTTGAGATAATTCTGATCTTGATGATGATGAAACCTTTGAATCAGAAACAAAAAGTTTCAAAAAAGCTAGTGACGAGGTTCTGGAAAGTAGAAGAATAGTGAAAGTTCGTTGTCATCAAGCATTAAGTTCCGGTGCCTTATCTTTTGACTTTTCTTCCTGAAAAGGAAAACGAAAGCAAGAGAAAATGTATTGCTTGAGAGTCTGATTATGAGTTAGTTTCCATGAAATAATTATAAGTCCTATATCCATTTTGTTGCATGATTCTTAATTATCATACTGCATGATTCTGGAGATATGAATGATTGAATCGTAAATATAGTCTACAGTTGCTAATAAAACCTTAGTTTTACTACTATTGAAATTGATAATTAATGTGGAATTTTATTGGATTTGGATTGGATTGGTTATCATGTTTATTTTGATTCCTACAGTAATACTCTATCTGTGAGTTACCCTTCTTCTTCTTCTTCTTTTTTCAAAAAGAAAAAAAATGGTTTAAATTTGTAGCGGGTTGAGCGGTTAACCATCGGTTTTGGTATTCAAACCATGAACCAAACTAAACCAACATGGTTTTTGTCTACAAAAAACCAAACCAAATCATTTGACTACTCTAAACCGAACCAAACCAAACTGAATCGGTTCGGTTTGGCGGTTTAGGTGGTTTGACGGTTTTTTTGCCCAGGCCTAGTGCATACTTTGTTAATATTTATTAGGTAGCTGGGGAGTCATAGTCCCCTTTATTACATAATTTCGAGTTCGATATCAAAGCATAACATAGATTTCATTTGGCGGCGGCGGCGGCAGCTTCAAAACGAGCTCGAAAATATGCAGTCAACTTATCTTTGGGAGGCAGATTTTCCTTTATAATGTTGCAGTTCAGGTAGTCATCAATCCATGCACCTAACTTTGGAAATTTCTCTTTTGTCAACACTTGTAATCCGGCCAATTCTTGCAGAATTATGAACCAATATGATATGAAATTGGCAACTATATCAACCATTCCAATACTGTCACCCCCAAAGAATTTCTTATCCGAAAGTGTGCCCTCGAGAATTTTCAGAAGTTCAGTAGATTCTTCCTTTGCCTTCTCTTGCTCCTCTCCGATGCTCCAACAAGTTTTCCACAGTGTAGGCACACACTAAAAGATATATAAAATGAAAATAATGTTAAATTTTGATGATTCAAACACCTGATAGTATGTTTGTACTATACAAAAATCGAACTGTGAAGGACAAAAAATTTCGTCTCTCCTTACAGAAAAGTAAACTCTCAACTTTTTTTTTACCACGTCATTGAAGTATCGCAGAAAATTGGCTCACATAGAGTTCTAGACACCAAAAAAATCTTCAACCCAGAAGTTGAAGATTGAAGAGAAGACGAAGAAGAAAACTCACATAGAGTTCTAGACGACGACCAATGAGAGATCCCATGTTTAGAATGTATTAGGGAAAAGCAAAGGGTTTTATTTATGAATGATTCTACTTTCACGGCCATTTTACCGGCCACTCACATGAGTTGGCATGAGACCCAATTCATTAAAAATGGACCTCCCAAAATATCCAATTCCCCCCTTCGTGAATAATCTGCATCGATCCTGTACGTCAAGCGCGGTTGTTTATTTATAATGCAAGTGACCACGGTAGATCTCAGATCAAGATCAAGTGGTCAACGGTCCAGATTAACTAGCAACATATCAATTCCAGAGACGACAAATTAATACCAAATTTGCACTTTTAAAAAGCGACTTAGTCCAATTAGTGGGCCTCGTCATTTTGAAGTATCAAGCAATAGATTCTGTAGCTAAGCCAATCCCATCACTATAATCCAATTAGGTTGGATTTGACATCACAGATCAAGAGTTTGGTATATTTGTACTAGACATAACAATATAAAAACGTACCTTTTCATCCAAGAACTTAGTCCAGAAGCGCACCAAGGCTCTTTCATAAGGATCTTTAGGCAAAAGAGAAGGACCTTTTTCCCAGGTTTCATCAATGTATTCAAGAATCACCAGAGACTCACAAATTGGTTTGCCATTGTGGACCAACACAGGAATTTTCTTGTGAACTGGATTGTACTTTAACAGTAAAGGGGACTTGTAGTTGTATATATCTTCATCTATGAATTCATATTCAACACCCTTGAGTTTCAGAGCAAACTCGATTCTACCGCTAAATGGGCTTCCCCAGTTGCCAAAAAGCTTCACTTCTGCCATTCTACTCTCCTTGATTTTCACTCTATATGTTGTTCTGTGTTTTCATTCTACAAGTAGAACCCTCATTATATATAGCGGGAGCGTTACTTATCTTCTAAGAAACAACGAATAAATTATTATATTAAATTAAAATTTGTAGATCTGACCAAGTGATAGACACTGGTTATTTAATGAAGTAGCTGGGGAGTGACGATATAGATTCTTACAATATTCATGCATGGAAGTGTCCAGAACATGATCATTTGACCAGAAACAATTGAATTACGCGCAAAACCTGTTTGGCATTGATTTGTGTATTTTATACATTTGTTTGGACCTAAAAATATAGACATTTAAATTATAACATAATTTATTGTATATTTCATTTAGTAATAATATTCGATGATTGGAAGTGGAATGAAAAAAGAAGAGAAAAATGGTGGAGTACAAAGTTTGAGGATCAAATTTTAAATATTTAATGGTTAATTTGGATCACAAGAGATATTTTGAAGATTGCTAGGAGTCAATTGGACGCAAGTAGAAGTAAAAAAAAAAGAATAAAATATGATCAAAATATTATCATAAGTCAATTTCAAATCACACAAAATATCTTTCAAATTTTTTGTCAAAGTTTGAATTAGAAAAATTCCACATCTAGCAATATTGTAGCCATTTGAATTAGCTTTCCAGCACACTTTGAATCAACTCAATCGAATATTGGAAAACAAAGTTATGACCAAAATAATGATTGCTGTGCGGAGACAAATAATCCGCAGGCGAAGGTAATTTTTTTTATTCAATTTGAATTCTTTTGGAAATCAATTTGGACATGATTTTCAACCAATTTTCCACTCCTAAAAATACCTAACAGCAGAATACATTAAGGAGGCATCACCTATGTTGTCAATTTTAGTTTCGCAAGTGTACGAACCGTAACAAGTAATAGTAAACCTAAGAGTTCGGATTGTCGATCCCACATAGACTATTTTCTAACATTTAATTCAAATTTCCTTTAACTATTATTTGATGAAAACAAATTAAAAGTTTTAGCGATTTGAGTTTAAATCTTAATTCTAGACAATAAATGAATGCTCACACAATTGTTTGTAAGATCAAATAATTAGAGAATGTTAGGGCAGAATAATTTCACCTATCGATCACTTTTATATATCAAATTAAGACTCAATTCTGATGTAGTGTTCGGTCGAATTCACATATTGTATTCAACTTACTACTCTCAAGTTCTCATTGAGTCTATTCAACAAATTAAATTCCATATCTCTATGTAAACTCAACTTAGTTAAACAAGTTGTTTGTCTTAAGAATTCAATTATGATCACAATAACTGGTATAAGTATATCTACTCGTTATACCAATGTACTATATTTTGCTACATGGTCTAAATTCTAAACTCATATATCTATTTGTAAATGATTCACAATATTCATCAAATTATTGATAAGATAATCTAATGCAATCAATATATAGCAAAAATCAATACATGAAAAAATTAAAAATCAAGAATCTTAATAGGAAAATATAAATGATCTTAAATGATTATATTATTCACCCTAACAATGGATTTAGCTACGCATAATGAAAAAAATGAAACAATAAATTGTCTTGGAGTACATCACCAAATTTAGAATTAAATATGTAAAAGAAAAAGTAGATCTTGCACCAAGAATTCCTTCCTCTTCTAATTGATACTTCACACGAAAAATTTGTCGTTGTTTTCTCTCTTTGAATCTCTCCTCTCCTTCCCAAAGATGTGTTTTTCGCCTCCTAATGTGTGGAATCCCTTAAAAGTCTGAACCCTGAATGCGGCATCGCGCCCACACTCTGGTTCTCTCTTGATTTCTTGAGTTTTGGTGCCATTCATCCCATCTTTGCTTTGCTTATTTTGTCCCTGTATCACAACTTCTTTTTCATCCATACAATGAACTTCAATTTAATGATCTTTCTTCGTATCCTTCGCCATCTCGATAAACCTATAAAACAACATTAATACACATATTAAAAACATTCTATACTCATGAAATCTAGCATAATATCAAGTTAAAATTGATATAATCTCGTGAGTAAAACACACTCGTTAACCTACATATCTTATATACATATCATACTCCAATACTCATCAATTATTATCATTAAATGAGAAAAATTCATAGGGGACTTGTAGGAATTCAATCAAGTGGAGAATCAAATTTGATTTTTTTGGCAAATAAGAGAAGGTGAAAGTGGAGATTCATCAAGAAACCATTGAAGAGATTGAAGATTTCAAGATTTATCATCATCTTCTCAATTTATCAAAAATTCGGGTTATGTCTTTTTATTTAAATATGATTTTTGGTAATTTCAATATGAAAGCTAGTTTTATACATTGTTAGGATGAGATGAACCATTGTTATAATATTTTAAATTTTTAATTAATTATTTTGACTTTAACTTGATTTGATTTGTTGATATTTATTACAGTTTTTATTGTTCTTTTCAATTGTTTGATCACCAATTAAATTGTCGGTGAATTTTATTGTTATCGAGAGAGACAATATGGTTTAAGCACAATATAATAATTATTGTAAAGTTCGATAGAGAAAAAAGATATACTCCTATACTTTATTGGTTTTCAATAGGTGTTCTAACACTTGTTAACGCATTTATCAGGTTTGTATTTTTCATCTAGAGATAGAATGGTTATATGAGGGGAATTAATTTGATTGCTATCGAGAGAGACTTTCAATTAAAGTAGAAACATTGACCACTATGAATGATTTCAAATTGTCACTTTAATTGTTACACTAAAAATGAAATAACAATTGAGATTTGATATCTTAGCAATGTATCTTACATATTTAAAAACACATTTACTTGCTTTCACTAGTTTAATTAATAATTTAGGGATTAATATGAAAAATTATAACAACTTATTTATTATTCGATTACAGTTACAATTAATTTTAGCTCGATCAAATACATAGTTCTTATAGATTTGATACTCTATTAACTACTTTGTTACTTGTTAACGACCCATCCACTTGCGGTAAGTCAAACGATCAAGCATCAACAAGGTCTTGATGAGAAATTCTCTGGTAATCCGAATCCTTTTGAAAATTTAATGAAACAAAGCCTCCTTAAACAATACATCTTTTCTGGTCGAATCCTCTTTTGCTCGCTCTAGATAGATTTCGAGAGCAAAGTACTCTTTTTCGCACGTAACTTGAAAGACGCAAGCACTTGATGTTAGTTCAATTGGTTCATTTTCATATAGTCTAGATGATTGAATAATCATTTTTTTTTCCCGAAAGAACTTAGATGATGACAATAGACCTAGTCACAAAGCTTGTTTCCCTATAAAACAAACTGTTTTTTTTTTGTTATACTTATTTTCAATCACACATTCATATAATAAAATATTTTGCACTTAAATTCCTTTTTCTTTTTCTTTTTTTTTTAAATTTGAAAAAAAACTTTTTTTTTTTTTTTTTTTTTTTTTTGTCGTACTTATTTTCAATAACACATTTATATAATAAAATATTTTGCACTTAAATTCCTTTTTCTTTTTCTTTTTTTTTTAAATTTGTAAACACACATTATCCAAAAAGTTATTAGTTAAAACATCATTTTTTTTTCAAATTTGTAAACACACATTATCCAAAAAGTTATTAGTTAAAACATCATTTTTTTTTCAAAATAATGGCAATCAAATAGGGGCTTAGTCATATCTGAGGCCATCTCCCATCTCCTAAAACACCAAAATGCACCATTTTTTGGTGCAAAACAATTCCAACGCAACATTATACTTTGCACCAAAATGGTGCAACAGTGTCCAAAATCATTTTTACCATTTCTTTTCATTTCTCAAATAAATTGGTTAAAGGTATTTGTGTAATTTGTGTTATATATTTTTTAATTTAATAAATATTATTGATATTATTATCATTTTATTATTATTTGCAATTAAAATAAATTTTAAATGTAAAAAATGACAATTAATGAATTAATTAAAAGAATAAAAAAATTAAAATATAACAAACACGATTATTTCTTAAGGTTAACACAAAATATATTAAAATGACTAAAAAAATAATGAATTTTTATATTTATTAACTAATTTAATTTAATTTTTTTCTTAATTTAACGTAATTATTTATTTAGTAATTCATGTATTTATAAAATAATTAAATAAATAATATTTCATATAAATAAATTATTAAAAATAAAAAAAGGGAAAAAAATGGATAAACACTGTTTAATTGGTGTAATAATTGAAGATGAATTTAAATTTGGTGTGAAATTGTGCAAATTTTGACATAGCATTGGAGATGATCTAAGGCTCTGATCTCGATGCTTGAGAGGTGTGTTCACCTATTAATGAGATAAGCAATCATGCTTCCCCGAGCTTAAATCTCATTTGTTTTATATGGCCTAGAAGTAGAATTACTTTTTAAGTATAACTTCTAACTTTTACTTTCAAGAAACTCCAAACATATTTGGACAAATAATTGATTATGCAAATTTGGTGGAGGATGAAATTGCATGGACTCTCACAAGGAAAAACCAATAACTTCTGTGTTTTTTTTTTTTATAATTTAAGTATCCAAGTTTCGCCTGATTAATCTTGAGGAGTGACGACCTTCCCCCATAGTTCGTCACCTAGATGAATTCGGATGCAGACACAACTTATACATACTTGAGCTGGACATTCGGGATATGGTTCTCCTTCTTGTAGACCTCCCTTACGATGTGTGGATAGGACCTCTGGAGTGACGACAAAGCGCATTAGAACTTTGTCTCCATAGGACAACTGCCTTCCAATATAAATGTTGCCTTCCAGCCTTGGAGATTTGAACCTCCGACTCTCTCTGTAGAACCCTCCTACTTTACTACTCGCCATTGCCGTGGGGACGTACCTTCTATGTTTTCATTCTAGAAGTAGAGGAGCCTTGTCCGCTAAGCAACAATGAATAAATTAATATGTTAAATAAATATTTGTAATTTGACCAAGTGACAGACACTGATTATTTAATGGAGTAAAATTACTTTTTAAGTAACTTCTAACTATTAAATATGTTTAAAT